TTTTGAGTCAGTTGGCCTTTGAGCTCTGCACATATCATACGGTGGGATTCACTCTTTCAAGAAAATTGTAGTGATTTGTACGACAGACTTCTCAACTGTATGGGAGAAATAAGGAAGAGCTATAACTGAGGAATTAAAGCATACACCTACAACTCTCTCTCTCTCTGTCTCTCTCTCCCTCCCTCCCTCCCTCTCTCTCTCTGTATACACACAGACACACACACACACACAAACAGAGGGGTGGGATTCTACAGGTTCGCACCTATTCACTAGAACCGGTTGTTAACATTCTAAGCAGTTCAGAGAACCAGTTAGAAGAAATTACTGGCCTAATCCTGTAAGGAAGGCAGGAAGGAAACATTCTGGTATTGCTTTACAGAAACTGCCTCTCCATTAACACTTATTACATTCTTGGCAGAACTAGACTTCCTGTCTCTGGAACATCTCTGGAGTATTTTTTTTCCTCCTTTGCTGGTAATTTGCTTGTGTGGAGTGACCATTCAAAGTTACAATGGCACTGAAAAAAGTGACTTATGACCATTTTTCACACTTACGACTGTTGCAGCATCCCCACAGTCATGAGAGGCCAGGCGAGGAGATACATGCCTTGATGTGAATGATGTTGAGTTGACCAAGCCCAGCCAGTCACATGACCACCAAGCCATGCTTACCAACTAAGCCACACCCACAGAACCGGTTGTTAAAAATTTTTGTATGGCATTCAGCTTTGTTCAGGTATTTTCCCACGTCATTGTAGTTGTGCTTTTAAAATTGTAGCAACGCTTCGGCAAAATCTCATCTGCCATCATCAGGCTTCTGTACAGTGTTCGTCTGTGAGTCAGACTTTCACAGCCGTTTCTGTTTTAAATTTGGTGCTAGCCTACTGCTGTGCCAGAATGGTTTTTTCTTCATCCTGATTGGTTGGGAGTCTTGGTCTGTGTTTATTGGTCTTGGAGTTTGCTGTGTTCTGCTTGATTGGTGTTTCTAATATCTTCTGTCTATTTTGTAGATTTTTTTGTCTTAATTGGCTGGCAACATTGCGTTCCTGTATTGGAGGCTTTTAGTGCAGCTTGGCTTCGAGTAAATGGACGGCTATCATTTGTTAGGAAGCTAGGTTTCATCTGGGTGCCTGGTTGGGGTGTGTTTCAGCTGGAGGTATCAGGGGGGATCTGTTTGTGCCCAGGTGTTTGTCTGGCTAGTGGTGTGGATATTTTTTTGTTTGTGAGTGCAGGCTTCCAAATAATTGACAGTCTGGTGGAATCATCTCTTCTATTCATGCTTTCAGGTCTTTTTTCAATCTCTGTGACTTCTCTGATAATTCTGTGTTTGAGCTGGAGGTATCAGGGAGAGTCTATATACATACATACATACATACATACATACATACATACATACATACATATACCACCACCCCTAATAAAACACATAATTTGTCTCTAAACTGGTTGCCTTCAATAGAATTTTTAAATATACATGTAGACAAATAAGTTAAAAAGATATATGACAGAAAACAAATCCATTCTGCCACATGTGCTTCACATTTATCTAATTTATAAAGTGATACATCTCCCATTTCCCTTGAAATATTTTTTGAACAGAATGAATTAACAATGAAACAGCCCCATTGAGCCTATCTCCATCTTATTATGAGCTCTGCAGAAATCTTTCAAAAAACACTGCAGAGAAAAATGGTGACAGTGAGTTAGGGATGAAGTATACAGGCAGAAAAATAACTTTATGGAATGAGATGTCAATTAGATCAAAAACAAATTAGTATCCTGTTGGTATAACTTATAATCTCTACAGAATACTTTACTCAGCGTTCAGATATCAGATTAAACCAGGGGTGTCCAACCTTTCACCTTCCCTGGGCCACATTAGAAGATGAAAATTTGGTTTGGGCCGCACATAAAATAAAATAACAGTAACGATATCTGATCATCCAAAAAAACCATAGAAAACGTAGTTAACATATTAAATTTATTTGGAAATGAAGTTAGTGAGATGTTTTTATTATTTATTATTAATTATTTATTAAAAATTATTTATTTTTTATCACAGTTTTTTATCACGTTTTTTTTTATCATGGTTTATTTTCCGGCCAAATTTTGCGGGGGAGAGAAAGCTCGCCCGCCTAGCGCCTAGCTCTCCTCCTGCAAATGGCCCAGCTGGATGAGGCAGGACTGGAAGGCAGAAGCAGCAGCGGTGGGGGGGGCAGAAGCAGCAGCGGTGGCAGGGGAAGAAGCGGCGGAGGCAGAGGGCAGAAGCAGCAGAGGGGGCAGAAGCAGCAGAGGGGGCAGAAGCAGCAGTGGTGGCGGGGGCAGAAGCGGCAGCGGCGGCAGAAGCAGCAGCAGTGGCGGGGGCAGAAGCGGCGGCAGCAGCGGTGGCAGGGGAAGAAGCGGCGGCGGGGGCAGAAGTGGCGGTGGAGGCAGTGGCGGCGGGGGCAGAAGCAGCAGCGGTGGCGGGGGAAGAAGTGGCAGAGACGGTGGGGGCAGAAGTGGCAGCGGGGGCAGAAGCAGCAGCGGTGGCGGGGGCAGAAGTGGCGGCAGGGGCAGCGGCGGCAACAGCAGGAGATGGCGCTCTGACAGCGTCCGCCTTTTCTGTTGCTGCTTGGCCTGGCGCTCGCCTCGCCCCACCTCGCGCCTGCCTCTCCTCCTCCTCCTCGCTGGCTCTGGCACGAGGGTTGGGGTGGGCACTGGGCCACATTACGAGGCGACCTGGGCCGCATGCGGCCCGCAGGCCGCGGGTTGGACAAGCCTGGATTAAACTATGGTTTTCTTTAATATGGTCAGAGTTTGCATAATACACAAAGCCAAAAACTAAATGAACTGCTGTATGACTTTGGATATATGTCGTCCTGGGATTATGACCATTTGCTCCGTCAAAGTTACAATGGTGCTGATGATGGGGACTTACAACCAGTCTGCAAAACTGTGATCATCGCAGCATTGTCACAATCATGCGATCACCTAGCAATCAACCTGCAATTACAATGGTTATAGCTTTCAATGGCCACGATTACGATTTGTACGTTTCCCTTCCCGCTTTCCACAAGCAAAGTCAATGGAGAAGTTCTCCTGCCATTTTTTCACCCACCAACTCAGGCTTCAAAATGCTTCAAAGTCTCCAGCATCCGCATACTGTAGTGCCCACCTGTAGCACTTGCTCAACTCCTCACTCTGTGGCACCCTTCCACCGCACCAAATACTACTCTGCAGAGAGTAGAACCGATTAGTTTTAGCCTCTTCGGCATCAGTGGTTGGGGCATAGACTTGGATTACTGTGGTGCTGAATGGTTTGCCTTGTATTTGAACTGAGATCGTTCTGTCCTTTTTGAGACTGTATCCCGGCACAAGTGGTCCTTGACTTATGACCACATTTGAGGCAAAAAAATTCTGTTGTGAACTGAAACATTTGCTAAGTGAGTTTTGCCCCATTTTACGACCTTTCTTGCCATAATCATTAAGTGAATCACTGCAGTTGTTAAGTTAGTGACATGGTTGTTAAGTGAATCTGGTTACCTTTGCTTGTCAGGTTACAAATGATAATCACATGACTCAGGAATACTGCAACCGTCATAAATATGAGTCAGTTGTCAAGCATCTGAATTTTGAACAAATGACCATGGGGGAATGCTACAATGGTCACAAGTGTGAAAAATGGCCATAAGTCACTTTTTTCAGTGCTGTTTTAACTTTGAACGATCGCTAAATGAACTGCTGTAAGTCGGGGACTACCTGTACTGCTTTCTCCATTCTTTTATTGACTATGAAGGCTACTCCATTTCCTCTAAGGAAATTCTTGCCTACAGTAGTAGATATAAAGCTATCCACTGTTTCAATGTATTCTTTGTTAACTGCTTTAAGGTTGGTTGCTGTAGCTATTGTTACTTTGGTATTCTTTATATTTAATTTTAGTCCCACGTTTTCACCAGCCATTCATTCAAAACTTATCTTCTTCAAATGTCTCTTCTCGTTGCCTGCTTGTCAACAGCCATTAGGATTAGTACCAAATACCCTTGATTCTTTGGCATTAGGCTTGGAAATCTGAAGAGCTTCAAAATAACATTGAAATAAAATGACATTTTATATATCGGTATTTGAGATTGTACTCCAGTGTATTAAATGTACTTAATATATTTACACCCACACACCCATGTTTGCCTTTCTAAGTAATTTATTTTTAAAAGTCATGGATAGTACTGGTCATCCTCATCTTAAGACCACAATTGAGCCTAAAATTTCTGTTGCTAAGTGACACATTTAAGTGAATTTTCCTCTGTTTTATGACCCAAAGGTGCTTTTTCAAGAGGCAACTGGACTTTCTGGGTTTTCTTTGAAGACAACCTGCTAAAAGAATGCAAATGACCAGCTGTCTGCAAGGAGTATAAAACTTTCCATTCCCCACCATCTGGCCAGAGGTGAAGAAGTTTCTTGGATGAGAAAAGTGAAACGTCTTCAAAGAAAAACCAAAAAAAAACAAACCACTTGCCTCTTGAAAAAGCACTTTGGGGACAACCATGACCTGGGTGACTGAGAATCTCCATTTTGTGGCCTTTCTTGCCACATTTGTATCAAAAACTACATCAAGAATAGACTCAGGAAACCTCCTGCTGTTGCAAAATTCCCACACTGTTACAGTAACTCATTTACTTGAGAGTAAATACGGTTGAATTCAGACGGGCTTATTTCGAAATGGACAGAGCACAGGATTGCCTAATAAGCCTGTTAGCTTTCAATGGTACCGCCTGATTCTCTATTTTGTCTATGAAGAAAGTAAGCCTTCTCTTCCTTCCCACTTTTCCTAGAATTTCCGAAGAAGGCAGACTCCCAATAACGCCCAGAACTACGGTGGTTGTATGTGTGGTTTTTTTTTAAAACCACTTTTTTCAAATTGCCAAGAATCCGTTGTGATTTCATCTAAGGGCGGAAGTAGGAATCTTTCGAACCGGGAAAGCTCTCTGACGCTGGCGGAAGTGCGTAAAGCTGCGGGCGGATATAAAGGTGTTCAAAGGGCTTTCGTTTCTCCTCCCTTCTCGGTTGCTAGGAGGGGGCCTGGCTCCAGCTGCTCAGTACTGAACAGGTGAGGAAGAGGAAGGGCAAAGGTTGCGTGGTCTTTTTCTTTTTCTGTCTTGCAAAGACGTAGGCGGGAGGGGGTTGCTTACAGTATTGTGTTTCCCACGGTGGGGTGTCAGGGCCAATACGGGGGAGAGAATTGCTAGGATAGAAGCCTTATTTATTTTTTGGCTGTAGGAATCCTGGGAATTGTAGTCCCCACAATGCTGGAGGGTATCACCTGGGGGAAAAGCTTGATATATCTGGGGAAGAATTGAATGCTGTGGGAAAGGGGGACCTCATTTTATTTGTGGTTAAGCTTCTACCTTTTATTTATTTTTGCAATGCCTTAGTCCCAGAGGGCTAGTCTTATCAGTGATCTATTGAACTACCAGCTGTTCTCCAGGGTGTAAGTCTTGAGTTTCTTAAAGTAAGGGGTAGGGAAACTTAGAATTTTGTTGTGGAATTTTGTTGGGGTGTGCATAAGTGCACCATCATGCCTACCGTCCCTGTCCTATTGTCCCCATTTATTTGTACCTATTTCCTGTATTCTTACTCATGTTTATACTTATATCTTGTAAGTGATTGACAAATCAAATAAATAAAAATAAATAAACTGTCACCTTGGGCTTGTTTGTGCTGTGGTTATCATCAAACCAAGCTGATTAGCTGGGTTTCTTTTGTACTGGTTTTCACTGCCAATTGTTTATGAACCATGGAATGGACTTCCAAACAATGTTTTGGCCTGGTATCACCTGCCATTTTTATTTTCTAAGATATGAGCCCAAAGGAATTTTGGAAATATGTTGGAAGAGTGTGCTTCTGGAAGTTGGCAACCCAGTTCTCTTTTTTTATATTGAGAAAATATGTGTTTAAAAAGTTGGAGTAGGACAAGTGTGTGTGTGTTTCCTGATTTAAATTCAAGGTAGCTGAAAATAGGGATGCTATGATGTAGTGACACAAGGGCTAGAGAGACTAATATTCAATTGCTCTTATCCATGGCATCTTACAGAGTGACTATAGGCCACACACTTTCTCTCGGCCCAGCCTACTTCACAAGGCTGTTGTTGGGATAAAAATAAAGGAGGGTCTCTATGGAAACTGCCTTCAGCTTTTTGAAGAAAAGTTTATCTAATAAAGTATATATTTTTTAAAAAAACTATACCTGGCATAGATTTAATTCCATTTAGTTCAGAAGAGCTTGCTTCTGATAATGAAATGCATTGTAAAGAAAACAGATACTCCTTTTTAAAATTTAATGTTATTCTGTCTTATTTTTACTAGCTTAATGCATCTGAATGTGTTGGATTGCAGTTCTCATGCTCTACAGACATCTTATACCCATTCTGGCTTATTTTACCAATTTGTCTAATCAGAATTGGAATGGTTTTCAACTGTTACTCTTTTAACATTTAATTTCAGTTTGTAGGGTAGATCCCTTGTGTTAGCCTTAACAATCTTTTCTTGGAAATCCTTTAAGCACTAAAGTCACCATCATGCATTCAGGGAAAAGAGCTCAAACCTAGAGAAGCTTATGAAGGCATAATGTTGTTAGAGTTTAAGACAATGTTTCTCAACACTTTTAAAGTGGAAACCCTAGGTAAATGTATTTAACCTCTTCAACTCCATTGATACTGTCTCCATCACTCAATCCCAAACTTTTTTCTTGACCAATGTAGAAGAGCATTAATTCTTAGATTACAACTGTAGAAGAGCCTTGAAGCAAATATGTAATGACCATTAGTCAGGCATGAATTTATTCCAGAAGAACAAGAAAGTTTGAGAAAGAAATTGAAGACAGCCCTGCCCTGACTGTGTGGTTTAAGAAGAGAGCGGAAAAACTGGATCTGAATTATCAAATCAATATATCCTGGCCTCATTGCCTGGGGAAAAGCCAGTCTTTACCTCCTTCCCAAAAGCTAATAAGGTCAGGATCAGCCATATCTTTTGAGGGAGGCTGTTTTATAAGGAAGGCACTATAGTAGAAAAGGTATGCCTCTTTAGGCCTTATCAGGTGACACTGTTTCGCCATAGGGACCTGGAGCAAAACTAATTTGCCAACCTTCATGAATACATAATCCTACAAATATAGATGGTCCACAACTGAGCTTAAAATTTCTGCTAAGTGAATTTTGCTCCCTTTTACAACCTTTCTTGTCACAGTTAAGTGAATCGCTGCAATTATTAAGTTAGTAACAAGGTTGTCAAGTGAATCTGGCTTCCGCATTGAAGGTGATCGCATGATTCCGGGACACTGCAACCATCATAAATATGAATCAGTTGCCAAGCATCTGAATTTTGATCATGTGACCATGAGAATGCTGCAACAGTCATAAGTGTGAAAACAGGCATAAGTCACTTTTTTTCAGTGCTGTTGTAACTTTCAACCATCACTAAATGAACTGCTGTAAGTCGACCTGTAACATGGAGGCTTAATTAACTCCCTCTAATCAGCTGATTTCCCCAACTCTGTTGTAAATTACTTGCCTGGGAATTGATCCTTCTTTCTCAATGCTGCTCTGTTTTCTCATTAGCACCCCCCCAAGCACTGGGAGGAATTGAACATGGCTACCATGTGACCAAGCCACAGTTGTGGCACACACACTCTTTTAATGTAATTGGCAATGGATAAGACTTTGCAAAGTGAGTGTGTATGTGGAGGCAGCCAGGAAAAGCTTTGGAATAGATGAGTCTTGCAAAAGACATGGTTGCATTATTAAAAATTTGATGAGGCATGCTTTGTTTGCAAATTGCAAAGCGTTCCAAATGTGCAAAATATTTATTTTGAATACTTTGTATAGCCCTAATAATCGAGTCCTTCATGTTATACAAACATAGCCAATGAGTCATTGGCTGAAATGGGAATTGAAGCTTGCTTTTTTTGCATCTTCGTTTCCCAGTACTGGACATCAAATCCTATTCTCATTTTTGGATATTGAATTACAATTGAGTTCTCAAAATGCTCCAGTGTATTACATTACTGAGATAATTCTTTCAAGAGCAATAAATAAAATAGTCTCAGGATATTGTACCTTGAGAGTAGCTGGCTGAAGGCCAGCCAGTAAGCCTGGATTTGAATAAGTTTTTCTGGATCTGGTCAGAAGTCTTTGATTTACTCTTATCTTCTGCTCCCACTTTCCTTAATTCTGCTCAGCTTTCAAAAAGGGTATAAAGTTGGTGTGTTTATATTTGACTTTTATTCTGTTAAACAAAGTTCACAGTATTATGCATGGCTTTCTAGGAGGAGAACTCTTATTGAGTCATCAGAACCAGAATTGAGTTCAATATCTGAATTACCAGGTGTCCTCAAACTGTACTGTGCACCAGTTACTATCTCTTCAAGTAATATCTGTTCCTGGATCTTAATTCAAATGCTTTGCTTTTATAGATGGTCCTCGACTTACAATCAGTTAGTTAGCAACCATTCAAAGTTATGACAGACTCTGAAAAAGCTATTTCCGACTCAGAGTTGAAATTACAGGTACAACAGTGGTGGGATTCTACCGGTTCAGCCCAACCAGTAGTTCCGAGAATCATCTGTGAGCGAACGGATTTGCTCCGACGATCAGCTGTTGGTCCCACCCATCCACCCCAGCTCTATTCTGACCTTTATTTCCTGGTTTTCAAGCTCAACTGGTTCACACAGCACAGTAGATTGCCGCGCATCAGCTGTTTAACACACAGGGAGAATGCAGGATTGCAGGAGAAGGTCAGTAGCAAACTCTCACGGAACCGGTTGTTACGCCGGTTGAATCACACCCCTGAAGTACACCCTCCCCATCACATTTTGGGTACTCAACAATCAGCTTGGCTCCCATTTGTGGCCATTTGCAGCGTCCTATGGTCACATGACTGCAATTTATGACATTTTTTATGATTTCCAGTTTCCACAAACAGCACGCCATAGTGAACAATGGGCTTGCTTTATGACTGCCACAAAAAAGTCATAAAATTGGGCAAGGTCATGTGGACCCTCTTAACAATCATCATAACTTACAATCAAAATTATGGGATCAATTGCTGTTTTAAGTGGAGAGCTACCTGTAATCAATTGAAATTATAGCCCAAGATTTGTTTGTTTTCCAACTAGAATTGACAATCTTCTACTATATGTCAAATTCTGTTTCCAATTTTTCCCAATTTTCCTAAAGCATAAACAGCTATTGCAACGAATGGCTTTGTTGTGATAGAAATTCTCGGCTGCTCAAAAATTCACACACACACAAAAAGTCTGCAAACTGTTAGTAACATTTGCAGCAATGTTAAAATTTAGTGCAGTGCTCAGAAGGGGGATTGCTAGAAGGAAGAGGTTCTGTGGAAGGAAAGTATTATTAGACAGTGTCCACATCAGCAAAAGTGGGTTCAGTTCATGTTTTCATGCTGACCCAAATACCTGCGTTGATGAGATTTTTATAATATATGGGAAAGGCTGAGCTGCTGACCAATGCCCCAAAGAGGCCAATTTAATATTACCGTATAAATGTATACTTGAGATGAGTAGATGCTATTAGTGGTAAGTGTTTTTTAAAAGGACCCATCAGATCTGTTTCTCTGCTCCTTTACGCCTTCTAAAAATGAGCCATTTCCATTTGCATGAGTAACTTTATATTATAAACTATATTTTTGAAATATGGGAAGATTTCCACAATGGCCTTGTAGTTGCAGGGTTGCCCACTGGGACCAGAGGTTTTGTCTTCTGATCTTTCGGACTCATGCTGGAGCCCATCTTCATCTTCCCAGGCTAGAGAGAAGTTCCCTGAGGACGGGCCCCAGCACAAGTCCGAAAGCAAAACCTCTGGTCCTGGTGACCAACCCAGGCTGGACCCTGCAACACTATCCTGGGACATGTATCTTCATTGTAGTTTCTGTGCCAAAATAACCGCTTCTGCTATGTTCTCTCAGCCGGTCTTTTGAAAGCTCGCAGATTTGCACATAAACCACCATACAACAGCAGAAAGCAGGTTTCAAGGTGTTTAATGTCAAACAACAAATTTCCCATCCGGCAAGAAATGGTATACAATCCGGTCT